CTGGCCCCACGTGGCACAGAGAAACACTGCTCTGAGCGTCTGTTCTGCCCCACATGGCACAGAGAAACACTGCTCTGAGCGTCTGTTCTGCCCCCACGTGGCACAGAGAAACACTGCTCTGAGCGTCTGTTCTGCCCCACGTGGCAACAGAGAAACACTGCTCTGAGCGTCCGTTCTGCCCCACGTGGGCACAGAGAAACACTGCTCTGAGCGTCTGTTCTGCCCCACATGGCACAGAGAAACACTGCTCTGAGCGTCCGTTCTGCCCCACATGGCACAGAGAAACACTGCTCTGAGCGTCTGTTCATCCCCACGTGGCACAGAGAAACACTGCTCTGAGCGTCTGTTCTGCCCCACGTGGCACAGAGAAAACACTGCTCTGAGCGTACCGTTCTGCCCCACGTGGCACAGAGAAAACACTGCTCTGAGCGTCCGTGTCTGCCCCACGTGGCACAGAGAAACACTGCTCTGAGCGTCTGTTCATCCCCACGTGGCACAGAGAAACACTGCTCTGAGCGTCTGTTCTGCCCCACGTGGCACAGAGAAACACTGCTCTGAGCGTCTGTTCTGCCCCACGTGGCACAGAGAAACACTGCTCTGAGCGTCCGTTCTGCCCCACGTGGCACAGAGAAACACTGCTCTGAGCGTCCGTTCTGCCCCACATGGCACAGAGAAACACTGCTTGCATGAGAGACCATGTGGGGGAGGCTATTGACTCGTGTTGGTGTGTTGACTCCCTCACATGATCCCAGTAAGCAGTCAACAACAGTAGAGATTGTTTACAAAATCAAAGGTAAAAAATGTCATTTATATCAGAATATTATACCTGTTTTATTTTCTATACGATCAGGGTTCAAATAAAGACACATCGTGCCTCGTAAACAACAACAACAACAACTGCACTTTTTAAGCTGTATTTTATCAGAGGAAGTGGTGGTTGTTTATCAAGTAGATGAGATAAATCCGTCTGCTTCCTGTCTCACCTGCTCAGGTGTTCAAAGGTTAATGACTCGCTGATAAGGACTCTTTAAAGTAGAGACACTACATACTGATATACACCTGAACATCAGCAGGAGAGAACTCTTTAAAGTAGAGACACTACATACTGATATACACCTGAACATCAGCAGGAGAGGACTCTTTAAAGTAGAGACACTACATACTGATATACACCTGAACATCAGCAGGAGAGGACTCTTTAAAGTAGAGACACTACATACTGATATACACCTGAACATCAGCAGGAGAGGACTCTTTAAAGTAGAGACACTACATACTGATATACACCTGAACATCAGCAGGAGAGGACTCTTTAAAGTAGAGACACTACATACTGATATACACCTGAACATCAGCAGGAGAGGACTCTTTAAAGTAGAGACACTACATACTGATATACACCTGAACATCAGCAGGAGAGGACTCTTTAAAGTAGAGACACTACATACTGATATACACCTGAACATCAGCAGGAGAGGACTCTTTAAAGTAGAGACACTACACACTGATATACACCTGAACATCAGCAGGAGAGAACTCTTTAAAGTAGAGACACTACATACTGATATACACCTGAACATCAGCAGGAGAGAACTCTTTAAAGTAGAGACACTACATACTGATGTGAGTTTTAACTTCTTAATAGTTTTATATTGATATTTATTTATTTACTGATGATGAGCTGACAACAAATCTTTAATTTAAAGGAAATCTCCTCGTAAATAATGCAGAATCCATTAAAAACAGTTAAAGAGTGAATAAGATATATATTACATGATATTAAATGTATATTACACAACTTATCAAATACTTAGAGTCCATTTTAATAGAGATATACACATTTGGAAAGTACCATACAGTAAGGTAACGTTAAGACAATATTCTAAAATCTCGCGAGGTTTGGCACTACAGTGAGACGTGAGATTTCACCTTAGTGTCAGTTAATGGAAATAAATGTAAACTTTAATTAATGAGTAAATTACAGTTTTAGTGAACTTTAGGCCACATTTACAGATCTTACATAACGTTTTGTCCGACATTTTCCTCACACACACACACACACACACACTCACACTCACACACACTATATCCATGACACACGCACACACACACACACACACACCAGAATAACTCACTTTAGAGCCCCGTTAACGGATCTTTAACGTCGGTTAACTCACCGGTAACTCGACTCCAGACGGTTGTTGTTGTTGTTTGTGTTGTTGTTGTTGTTGTTGTTGTTGTTGTGGAACAGCTGTGAGACGGGGGTTTTGGGAGCAGAAGAAGAGAAAGTAGAAGAAGTTGGAGCAGCAGAAGAAGAAGGAGCTGCCGTCAGAAGATGAGGTCATCGCGTTAAAAATAAAGCCATGTCGTCATCGCTTCAGACTGCACGCGCTCTCTTAAAGGCGCAGGCACCGTGTGAGCCGAGAGGAAGTAACGGCTTTAAAGGGGAGGTTTAGAGTCAGGAAATACAGAGATTTCATGTAAAATAATAAGTAAATATAGAAAAATAAATAAATTATAAAACATACAAATTAATTCAAATGTAGCCGATAGAAAACCACTGTCTTAAAGGGGAAGGGGAGGTTTAGAGTCAGGAAATACAGAGATTTCATGTAAAAATAATAAAGAAATAATTAAGTAAATAAAGAAATGTGGTAAATATAATTAAATTAAAACACTTTTTTTTAAACTATTAGTTCAGGAAATGAATAAATGGTCAGGCAAAAATACTGACAGAAAATAAATACTTTTATAATGATAAAATAATACATTTATTTATTTATTTAAAAACGTTTTAAAAACTTAATTGAGGAAATTAAAAATAACATAAATGGGCAAGAAAAAATACTGACGAAAATGAAATGCTTTCAATGTTAAAAAATAATAAATAAATAGATAAACTTCTTAAATAGTGAAGATGTGAACTGAATAAACACACCTCAAAGAAATGATTAAAGATCCCGAAACAAATGACTGTAACATTGTACACATCCCATAACCATGTTTTAATAGTATTTGTATTTTATAGTACTTTAAAATAAATGTATTGTCATTTTTTGATTTTGTATTTCTATTGTTCTCCTTTTTAATATTATTAAATATCTTTATTGTGCGCAAACACTGAGGATAAATCCTTGTAAATAAACACTTTTAGCACTTTCTGATATTTCCTGAATGCAAAGTTGAATTGTTGTTCTTTGCAGCGCTGAGATTCCTGCAGGACGGAGAACAAAGGTAACGTGTCCTCATTCTGGAGCGATCGTCCTCTGCATGGCTGCCTCACAACGAGGAGGCAATTACAGCCTCTGCAGAGAAGAAGAGACTGAGCCCCAGAGGTCTGCAGGAAGTACCAGAGGGTTCTAAAGGTCACCTAGCATGCTATTTGTAGGCAATAGGTCTCAGCAGTGGTGACTGGTCATTAGGGGCAGGCGGGGTACAGCCCCACCAACCCTTAAAACTCATCTGTTCAACATTGCCTTCCAACAATAACTCACTCCCCCCCCCCCCCACTTCCATTTCTGCCCCCTGTTTTATGTTTATGTTTTATGTCTTGTCCTTGTATGTTTCTTTGTAAAGCGACCTTGAGGTTATGAAAGGCGCTATACAAATTCAAGTTATTATTATTATTATTGTCAGCAGAAAGTATTTCAAATAATAATTTTTTTTAAATACAAAGAAAAATACATGTTAAAAAATATTTTAAGATCCTGTTTAATCATCTGATTCGTCTGTACATTGCTGTTTTAGTCTGTGTTCTTCTAATTAGTGTCTACAGTGTGCCTATTGAGCCGTGTTGAGCGACGTGGGTCAAGCCCCTCTCTCTGCTGTCTCAGTGAATGGGTGCTGTAAAAACTGCACTGCGCATGCTCAGAGTCTTTTTCTATTCAATGTGTGCGGCGACAAAATAATCACCATAGGGGCACTGTGCTGACATACCCACCAAACGTCATCTCATAATTCAGAGAGCTGATTGGCTGTAAGTACGTGTGCCGCGAAAAGTGTGGTTGTTTGTGAAGAGGAGACGAGAGAGAGCAGCGTATAGCGATTACAATCACACGGAAAGAAAGTGAAGGAAGTTGACCGTCTAAGTTCATTTGATGTCATATATTTTCCTAATGTTCAGGTGGGTATTTAGGGTCGTTTTACAGGGACATGATCAAAGGGTCAAACTCTGAGAAAATAAATTGGAGAGAAGAAAGAGATGTTCTGAAGAGCTGATGTCCTCTGAAGGAAAGCGCTGAGCAGAAGAAACTGAAAGCATGCAGAGAGTTTCACCGTTTATTTGATTGAACATAGAAAATAGTCTCTGTGATCTCTGTTGATATCTGATCTCAGGTCTGTGTGCAGGGCTTCATTTATTCACATGTTCTCATCATTATACGTCTCTCTCCATGTTCCCTCATTATATTTAACCTGATTGACCTCTTCATATATATCAGACCCTTCCTCTCCAATTACACTTTCTTATCAATTCAGACAAATGTTTAAATTCATTATTTAAAATTAATATTCCTTTGGTTTAAAACGGAGAAAAACTCTTTTCAAATAAGCAAAAAAAGCTAAATTGTTATAAAATAAGCAAAATCCTTAATATGACTAAATTCAGCAAAAGTTTTAAGAACAGAGTTTTGGTAAATTCTTATAAAACAAACAAAAAACTGTTTAAGATAAAAAAATAGGTACAAAATAAATGTTTGATCATTTGTCGAGAACAAAATCTAACCTGAAGTTTATTTAACTACAAAACTCAAATCTTCCTAAAATCAAGCAAAAACTCTAAAATGCTAAAGTCAGACATTTTGAGAAAAGGTCGGACATTTTGAGAAAAAGTCGGACATTTTGAGAAAATGTTAAAATGTTGAGAACATTTTAAAATTGAGAACATTTCCAAAAAGTATCTCTGAGCAGGGGCTGAATGATCCTATGCTTTATATGATGGGATCAGCTAGATATATGTGAGTGTCGGGAGCATTATATATATCTATGGTCGGGAGGAGCTGCTACTCTTCCTCTGCAGGAACAGCCAGGTTCACTTCCTGCAGCTCCATGTCCTCCTGTCTGTCAGGCTGCCCCCTGGTGGCCTGCAGAGGCATGACAGCCAGGTTCACTTCCTGCAGCTCCATGTCCTCCTGTCTGTCAGGCTGCCCCCTGGTGGCCTGCAGAGGCATGACAGCCAGGTTCACTTCCTGCAGCTCCATGTCCTCCTGTCTGTCAGGCTGCCCCCTGGTGGCCTGCAGAGACATGACAACACAGAGGTGACTACCTGCTCCTCTTCAGGCCCACATCACAGTCCTCTGAACACATGCCTACCTTGCAGACGAAGTAAAGGCCGCTGGCCAGCAGCAGAGTCAGCAGCAGAACCATCAGCAGGACGACGGCTCGGAGGATCAGAGGTGGGGGATCTGAGGGGACATCAGACATCACAGCATGAGGCCAGCAGTCCCACTAACTGCACTCTGGAGGCTTTCAGATGTTTCCCAGAGTGGGACCTCTTTAAAAAGCTCTCAGTGAGAGACAGGTGAGAGACAGACAGGTGAGACACAGACAGGTGAGACACAGACAGGTGAGAGACAGACAGATGAGAGACAGACAGGTGAGACACAGACAGGAGAGAGACAGGTGAGAGACAGACAGGTGAGAGACAGACAGGTGAGAGACACACAGGTGAGAGACAGACAGGTGAGAGACAGACAGGTGAGAGACAGACAGGTGAGAGACAGACAGGTGAGAGACAGACAGGTGAGAGAGAGACAGGTGAGAGACAGGTGAGAGACAGACAGGTGAGAGACAGGTGAGAGACAGACAGGTGAGAGACAGACAGGTGAGAGACACAGGTGAGAGAGAGACAGGTGAGAGACACAGGTGAGAGACAGACAGGTGAGAGACAGACAGGTGAGAGACAGACAGGTGAGAGACAGACAGGTGAGAGAGACAGGACAGGTGAGAGACAGAGTGAGAGAGAGACAGGTGAGAGGACAGGTGAGAGACAGGTGAGAGACAGACAGGTGAGAGACAGGTGAGAGACAGACAGGTGAGAGACAGACAGGTGAGAGACAGACAGGGTGACAAACAGACAGACAGGTGAGAGACAGACAGGTGAGAGACAGACAGGTGAGAGAGAGACAGGTGAGAGACAGACAGGTGAGAGACAGACAGGTGAGAGACAGACAGATGAGAGACAGACAGGTGAGAGACAGACAGGTGAGAGACAGCCAGGTGAGAGAGAGACAGGTGAGAGACAGACAGGTGAGAGACAGACAGGTGAGAGACAGACAGGTGAGAGACAGACAGGTGAGAGAGAGACAGGTGAGAGACAGACAGGTGAGAGACAGACAGGTGAGAGACAGACAGATGAGAGACAGACAGGTGAGAGACAGACAGGTGAGAGAGAGACAGGTGAGAGACAGACAGGTGAGACACAGACATGATCCTCTTCCTGTGAACACTGAGCTCACCTGAGACAGTGACAGACAGACAGACAGTGACAGACAGACAGGTGAGAGACAGACAGGTGACAGACAGACAGGTGCACACTGAGCTTACCTGAGACAGTGACAGACAGATGACAGACAGACAGGTGACAGACAGACAGGTGACAGACAGACAGGTGCACACTGAGCTTACCTGAGACAGTGACAGACAGACAGTGACAGACAGACAGGTGAGAGACAGACAGGTGAGAGACAGACAGGTGGACACTGAGCTTACCTGAGACAGTGACAGACAGACAGTGACAGACAGACAGTGACAGACAGACAGGTGACAGACAGACAGGTGAGAGACAGACAGGTGCACACTGAGCTTACCTGAGACAGTGACAGACAGACAGGTGACAGACAGACAGGTGAGAGACAGACAGGTGGACACTGAGCTTACCTGAGACAGTGACAGACAGCAGACGGCTCTCAGAGGAGAAGTTATGAGAGCGAACCAACAGGTGATAAACACAGCTGTAGTTTCCCTGGTGGGCGGGCTCTGCAGCCGGGAACAGGAAGTGGGCGCTGTGATTGACAGCTGGCTGGGTGTAGTTGTGAGTGGAGGAGCTGAGCAGGAAGGAGCCTCCTGGGTACTGAGGCTGGATGGAGCAGCTGATGCTGAAGGTGGAGCCTCTGAGCACCTGGAACCCCTGCTGCTGGGACCCGGAGACCCCGTACATGGAGGAGGACACAGAGATGTTGGGCTGAAGCAGCAGGTCTGTAGACAGGTGAGAGACAGACAGGTGAGAGACAGGTGAGAGACAGGTGAGAGAGAGACAGGTGAGTGAGAGACAGGTGAGAGACAGACAGGTGAGAGACAGGACAGGTGAGAGACAGACAGGTGAGAGAGAGACAGGTGAGAGAGAGACAGGTGAGAGAGAGACAGGTGAGAGACAGACAGGTGAGAGAGAGACAGGTGAGAGACAGACAGGTGAGAGAGAGACAGGTGAGAGAGAGACAGGTGAGAGAGAGACAGGTGAGAGACAGACAGGTGAGAGAGAGACAGGTGAGAGACAGACAGGTGATAGAGAGACAGGTGAGAGACAGACAGGTGAGAGAGAGACAGGTGAGAGACAGACAGGTGAGAGAGAGACAGGTGAGAGACAGACAGGTGAGAGAGAGACAGGTGAGAGAGAGACAGGTGAGAGACAGACAGGTGAGAGACAGACAGGTGAGAGACAGACAGGTGAGAGAGAGACAGGTGAGAGACAGACAGGTGAGAGAGAGACAGGTGAGAGAGAGACAGGTGAGAGAGAGACAGGTGAGAGAGAGACAGGTGAGAGACAGACAGGTGAGAGACAGACAGGTGAGAGAGAGACAGGTGAGAGAGAGACAGGTGAGAGACAGGTGAGAGACAGACAGGTGAGAGACAGACAGGAGAGAGACAGACAGGTGAAAGACAGACAGGTGAGAGAGAGACAGGTGAGAGAGAGACAGGTGAAAGAAGACAGTAGAGAGAGACAGGTGAGAGAGAGACCGGTGAGGAGACATACAGGTGAGAGAGAGACAGGTGAGAGACAGACAGATGAGAGAGAGACAGGTGAGAGAGAGACAGGTGAGAGACAGACAGGTGAGAGACAGACAGGTGAGAGAGAGACAGGTGAGAGACAGACAGGTGAGAGACAGACAGGTGAATGAGAGACAGGTGAGAGACAGACAGGTGAGAGACAGACAGGTGAGAGAGAGACAGGTGAGAGACAGACAGGTGAGAGACAGACAGGTGAGTGAGAGACAGGTGAGAGACAGGTGAGAGAGAGACAGGTGAGAGACAGACAGGTGAGAGACAGACAGGTGAGAGACAGACAGGTGAGAGACGGACAGGTGACAGACAGACAGGTAAGAGACAGACAGGTGAGAGACAGACAGGTGAGAGACAGACAGGTGAGAGAGAGACAGGTGAGAGACGGACAGGTGAGAAGAGACAGGTGAGAGACAGACAGGTGAGAGAGAGACATGTGAGAGACAGAGACAGAGGTGAGAGACAGACAGGTGAGAGACAGACAGGTGAGAGAGAGACAGGTGAGAGACAGACAGGTGAGAGACAGACAGGTGAGAGACAGACAGGTGAGAGACAGACAGGTGAGAGACATACAGGTGAGAGACATACAGGTGAGAGACAGTGAGAGACAGGTAAGAGACAGACAGGTGAGAGAGAGACAGGTGAGAGACAGACAGGTGAGAGACAAACAGGTGAGAGACAGACAGGTAAGAGACAGACAGGTGAGAGAGAGACAGGTGAGAGACAGACAGGTGAGAGACAGACAGGTGGAGAGACAGACAGGTGAGAGACAGACAGGTGAGAGACAGACAGGTGAGAGACAGACAGGTGAGAGACGGACAGGTGAGAGAGAGACAGGCGAGAGAGAGACAGGTGAGAGACAGACAGGTGAGAGAGAGACAGGTGAGAGACAGACAGGTGAGAGACAGACAGGTGAGAGACAGACAGGTGAGAGACAGACAGGTGAGAGAGAGACAGGCGAGAGAGAGACAGGTGAGAGACAGACAGGTGAGAGAGAGACAGGTGAGAGACAGACAGGTTGAGAGACAGACAGGTGAGAGACAGACAGATGAGAGACAGACAGGTGAGAGACAGACAGGTGAGAGAGAGACAGGCGAGAGAGAGACAGGTGAGAGACAGACAGGTGAGAGAGAGACAGGTGAGAGACAGACAGGTGAGAGACAGACAGGTGAGAGACAGACAGATGAGAGACAGACAGGTGAGAGACAGACAGGTGAGAGAGAGACAGGCGAGAGAGAGACAGGTGAGAGACAGACAGGCGAGAGAGAGACAGGTGAGAGACAGACAGGTGAGAGAGAGACAGGTGAGAGACAGACAGGCGAGAGAGAGACAGGTGAGAGACAGACAGGTGAGAGAGAGACAGGTGAGAGACAGACAGGTGAGAGACAGACAGGTGAGAGACAGACAGGTGAGAGACAGACAGGTGAGAGAGAGACAGGTGAGAGAGAGACAGGTAAGAGACAGACAGGTGAGAGAGAGACAGGTGGAGAGACAGACAGGTGAGAGACAGACAGATGAGAGACAGACAGGTGAGAGACAGACAGGTGAGAGAGAGACAGGCGAGAGAGAGACAGGGAGACAGACAGACAGACAGACAGACAGACAGATGAGAGACAGACAGGTGAGAGACAGACAGGTGAGAGACAGACAGGTGGAGAGACAGACAGGTGAGAGACAGACAGGTGAGAGAGAGACAGGTGAGAGACAGATGAGAGAGAGACAGGTGAGAGACAGACAGGTGAGAGACAGACAGGTGAGAGACAGACAGGTGGAGAGACAGACAGGTGAGAGACAGACAGGTGAGAGAGAGACAGGTGAGAGACAGACAGATGAGAGACAGACAGGTGAGAGACAGACAGGTGAGAGACATACAGGTGAGAGACAGGTGAGAGACAGACAGGTAAGAGACAGACAGGTGAGAGAGAGACAGGTGAGAGACAGACAGGTGAGAGACAAACAGGTGAGAGACAGACAGGTAAGAGACAGACAGGTGAGAGAGAGACAGGTGAGGAGACAGACAGGTGAGAGACAGACAGGTGGAGAGACAGACAGGTGAGAGACAGACAGGTGAGAGACAGACAGGTGAGAGACAGACAGGTGAGAGACGGACAGGTGAGAGAGAGACAGGTGAGAGATAGACAGGTGAGAGACAGACAGGTGAGAGACAGACAGGTGAGAGACAGACAGGTGAGAGACAGACAGGTGAGAGAGAGACAGGCGAGAGAGAGACAGGTGAGAGACAGACAGGTGAGAGACAGACAGGTGAGAGACAGACAGATGAGAGACAGACAGGTGAGAGACAGACAGGTGAGAGACAGACAGATGAGAGACAGACAGGTGAGAGACAGACAGGTGAGAGACAGACAGGTGAGAGAGAGACAGGTGAGAGACAGACAGGTGAGAGACAGACAGGTGAGAGACAGACAGATGAGAGACAGACAGGTGAGAGACAGACAGGTGAGAGAGAGACAGGCGAGAGAGAGACAGGTGAGAGACAGACAGGTGAGAGAGAGACAGGTGAGAGACAGACAGGTGAGAGACAGACAGGTGAGAGACAGACAGATGAGAGACAGACAGGTGAGAGACAGACAGGTTAGAGAGAGACAGGCGAGAGAGAGACAGGTGAGAGACAGACAGGCGAGAGAGAGACAGGTGAGAGACAGACAGGTGAGAGAGAGACAGGTGAGAGACAGACAGGTGAGAGACAGACAGGTGAGAGACAGACAGGTGAGAGACGGACAGGTGAGAGAGAGACAGGTGAGAGAGAGACAGGTAAGAGACAGACAGGTGAGAGAGAGACAGGTGAGAGACAGACAGGTGAGAGACAGACAGATGAGAGACAGACGGTGAGAGACAGACAGGTGAGAGAGAGACAGGCGAGAGAGAGACAGAGACAGACAGACAGACAGACAGACAGACAGATGAGAGACAGACAGGTGAGAGACAGACAGGTGGAGAGACAGACAGGTGAGAGAGAGACAGGTGAGAGACAGATGAGAGAGAGACAGGTGAGAGACAGACAGGTGAGAGAGAGACAGGTGAGAGACAGACAGGTGGAGAGACAGACAGGTGAGAGACAGACAGGTGGAGAGACAGACAGGTGAGAGACAGACAGGTGAGAGAGAGACAGGTGAGAGACAGATGAGAGAGAGACAGGTGAGAGACAGACAGGTGAGAGACAGACAGGTGAGAGACAGACAGGTGAGAGACAGACAGGTGAGAGAGAGACAGGTGAGAGACAGACAGATGAGAGACAGACAGGTGAGAGACAGACAGGTGAGAGAGAGACAGGCGAGAGAGAGACAGGAGACAGACAGACAGACAGACAGACAGACAGACAGGTGGGAGACAGACAGGTGAGAGAGAGACAGGTGAGAGACAGGTGAGAGACAGACAGGTGAGAGACAGACAGGTGAGAGACAGACAGGTGAGAGAGAGACAGGTGAGAGAGAGACAGGCGAGAGACAGACAGACAGACAGACAGGTGGGAGACAGACAGGTGAGAGACAGGTGAGAGACAGGTGAGAGACAGACAGGTGAGAGACAGACAGGTGAGAGAGACAGGTGAGAGAGAGACAGGCGAGAGACAGACAGACAGACAGACAGACAGACAGGTGGGAGACAGACAGGCGAGAGAGAGACAGGTGAGAGAGAGACAGGTGAGAGAGAGACAGGTGACAGACAGACATACAGACAGGTGGGAGACAGACAGGTGAGAGAGAGACAGGTGAGAGACAGACAGGTGGGAGACAGACAGGCGAGAGAGAGACAGGTGAGAGAGAGACAGGTGAGAGAGAGACAGGTGACAGACAGACAGACAGACAGACAGGTGGGAGACAGACAGGTGAGAGACAGACAGACAGACAGACAGGTGAGAGACAGACAGGTGAGAGACAGACAGACAGACAGGTGGGAGACAGACAGACAGACAGGTGGGAGACAGACAGGTGAGAGATAGACAGACAGACAGACAGGTGAGAGACAGACAGGTGAGAGACAGACAGGTGAGAGACAGACAGGTGAGAGACAGACAGGTGAGAGACAGACAGACAGGTGAGAGACAGACAGGTGGGAGACAGACAGGTGAGAGACAGACAGACAGGTGAGAGACAGACAGACAGACAGGTGACAGACAGACAGACAGACAGGTGGGAGACAGACAGGTGAGAGACAGACAGGTGAGAGACAGACAGGTGAGAGACAGACAGACAGACAGGTGACAGACAGACAGACAGACAGGTGGGAGACAGACAGGTGAGAGACAGACAGACAGACAGACAGGTGAGAGACAGACAGGTGACAGACAGACAGACAGGTGAGAGACAGACAGGCTGCTGCATTACTGTGATGATCGGACTGATGGTATTGCGGCAGTAATCTTTCAAACAAAGTGCCGCGAGGGACTAAACAAGAGAAAAACACTGTGGACGCGCAAAAAACTCAGTCTTTCCAACAGTATGCGTTTGACCTTTTATTTTCAAATCAAAAGTTCAATAGTCCTGGCTCCTCTGAGAGGTCCATTGACAGTCCAACCCAACATAGTTTTGACTGCATATGGGCCCCCGTCTACATCTAGGCCATCTCTGAAGGTCTTTCTGCCGAGGAATGTGGCCTCACCTGAAACATGTAATGATTACTGAGATTGATTCAGATGTGGACCTGTTGATTGGGACTAATGTTCCTGAGGCACTGGAGCCATGGGAAGTTATTCGGAGTGTAGACGGGGGCCCATATGCAGTCAAAACTATGTTGGGTTGGACTGTCAATGGACCTCTCAGAGGAGCCAGGACTATTGAACTTTTGCTTTGAAAATAAAAGGTCAAACGCATACTGTTGGAAAGACTGAGTTTTTTGCGCGTCCACAGTGTTTTTCTCTTGTTTAGTCCCTCGCGGCACTTTGTTTGAAAGATTACTGCCGCAATATTAAGTCAACAAAAATTGTCCTTCTCCAGTTCACTCCCCCTCCATCTATCACAAAGTGTGCAGGTAAAAGCAACCGGATATAACCGCAAACGTCACCACACCAAACCTTTGACACGCCCACCACCTATAGTGACTCAAAAACATGTACCGTAATAAACACAGAAACTACTACTTCAAATGTGGCTCCTACAGATGGGCTTACCTGAGCAGGTGAGATTCAGGAGGTAAGGAGAGGGAATTGATATCGCACAGTCCCTCAGAGCAGATCCAGAATGAAGACGGGAAGGTTTGATCACCCACACATCTCTCCCTGAGGACTCCTCTCTCCGTCCTACAGAAACAGCAGAGCCACAGTCGAGATCTCTGCAGGCGACTGCTGCTGTCTTCAGGTCCAGGTCCTCTCTAAGAGCACCCACTGGTCTCCATTCTCCCTCACCTCTCACCTCCAGGTCTCCCTCACAGCGACTCTCTCCTCCCACCAGCCTGACAGGCTCTGAACAGAAACAGGAGAGTGATCAGTAAAGGAAGAGAGTTCACAGAGAGGGGAAGCCCCGCCCCTTCCTGTGGACCAACATGAGACCTGATTACAGAAACACATGGATGCTCAGCGGAGAGAGAGCAGTCCTTTCTGGTCCTGTTTGAAGTGTTCCATGTTCAACACAGTCTGAGTCTCTGAAAGAGGATCCTTAACACGGCCAGACCTCAGATGTGGAACTCATGGAACAATTCAAACGCTATAAACTGTTCGTCTCTCGCCGCCGTACGTTTCCTCAGAAAATAAGTTCCCATGGGGACACAGGAAGGGGCGGGGCTTCCCCTCTCTGTCAGAACAGAATGAACCAATCACAGCTCCTCTCTACCTGAGCAGGTGAGGCTAACAGCTGTGCCAGGTGAGCAGGTGGTGTTTCTCTCTGAGGCTGAGCTACAGTCCAGGAGAGCAGACTCATGGCCTCCACACTGGAACTCTTTGGTCCCCATTGGAGCCTCCCCTTCTCCATAGAGCGCCCCCTGGAGGACTGAAGGAGCCCCGCAGCCCAGCTGCCTGCAGACCACCTGAGCATCCTGCTGGTCAAAGTCAGCCTCACACACTGAGGACCAGGACGGGTTAGACTGGTTAGACGGGTCAGAGTTCACCTCCAGTCTGCCTGAGCACAGACCAGTCCCCCCCAGCAGCCTGACAGAGTCTGCAGAGGACAGAAGGTCAAACAGAGGTCAAAGACACACCATCAAAGAGATGAAACTATATTTCAGATTCAAACTGAACTCAGTTCCAACATGAGTTGATGATGAACAACAGAACACATGTTGATAAGAACACAGACTGCAGGTACCCTCACATCTACATCTGATACCCTCTAGCAAGTGGTCTCCATTAGTGAACCCTTCCCCTGTGTCTTCAACAACACCTCCTCCTCTGCAGACCCTCCTGCTGTGAGGACGATGGTTCTGGCCTCTAGACGGCCCCTGCTGTGAGGACGATGGCTCTGGCCTCTAGACGGCCCCTGCTGTGAGGACGATGGCTCTGGCCTCTAGACGGCCCCTGCTGTGAGGACGATGGCTCTGGCCTCTAGACGGCCCCTGCTGTGAGGGTGATGGCTCTGGCCTCTAGACGGCCCCTGCTGTGAGGACGATGGCTCTGGTCTCTAGACGGCCCCTGCTGTGAGGACGATGGCTCTGGCCTCTAGACGGCCCCTGCTGTGAGGACGATGGCTCTGGTCTCTAGACGGCCCCTGCTGTGAGGACGATGGCTCTGGTCTCTAGACGGCCCCTGCTGTGAGGACGATGGCTCTGGCCTCTCCCCTCTCACTCTTTTGAAAACTCTGAACATGGATTCTTGTGACTCTGTAAATGAGTGCTATATTTTCCTCCTTCCTCTGCGGGGTCTGCGGGACGTCCTACGTTGTGTTTGCGCCGCGCTGCGACTATGTGAGCTCGGTCCAATCACAACAGGCCATTTCACGTTGGCCTGTAGTGATTCATTCGTACACTGTTCATCATTTGTTATTTGGGTTTGTGTATTTTTAAATTGTAAAAACAAGAAAATGAAAACAATAAATGAAAATGTCATCGATGATGTCACTGATGATGTCACTGATGATGTCACTGATGATGTCACTGATGATGTCACTGATGGGCTTACCTGAGCAGGTGAGATTCAGAATGAAGGGAGAGGAAGTTGATCGTGCACACTCCCTCAGAGCAGATCTAGACTGAGCACAGTCAGAGTCGATCTCCCACGCAGGTCTCTCTGAGGACTCCTCTCTCTCTCCCACAGAAACAGCAGAGCCACAGTCGAGCTCTCTGCAGGCGACTCCTGCTTCCTTCAGGTTCCAGAGAGAGCGAGCCCACACTGGTCTCCATTCTCCCTCACGTCTCATCTCCAGGTCTCCTGCACAGCGACTCTCTCCTCCCACCAGCCTAACACCAGGCTCTGGAGAGAAACAAGAGAGTCGTGTCCTTCATTGATATCAGCATGTTTTAATAATTAATCATTTATTCTATTAATACTTCCGAGTGATAATCAGATCATTAACTCCAGCTCTCTATAAACCAGTGGTGGGAAGTAATAAAGTACATATACTCAAGTACTGTAAGTACAGGTTTGAATTACTTTACTGGAGTATATCGTTGTATAATACTACTACATCACATGTATTCACAAAATGAGTTTGAGGACTTGGCAGGTTCATATTATTAATGAAACAACTATTGAATGATGAAGTTCTGTTATGGATAAAGATACCTGGAAGTATAACAAGTCATTAAAGTTCTCTCCACCTTTACCAGCTGCTACATTAAAAGTGATGTTCACATGAATGGATCATTGATTAGAATCCAGACTATAATATATCATTATGAAAGTAGTCAGACTGTATGAGTCATAATAATGATGGTACCTTAAGCATTATTTGATCCTAATACTTTGACCTGAGTACATTTCAATACCTGACTTGTTCTTGTAACAGTATTTCTACACTGTGGTATCACTTCTTTGAATCAAGTATAACATCTGACTACTTTCCCCACATCTATAAACTAATAGGACCTGAAACATGAAACATGTGATTAAGTGGAGCTAAAAAACAGTTCAATCAGAAAGCAGAACGTCATGGTTCTGTCATTTGAACCCTTTGGTGAACATGTGCAATATGGCTCTGTGTAGAATGAACCAATCACAGCTCCTCTCTACCTGAGCAGGTGAGGCTAACAGCTGTGCCAGGTGAGCAGACTCATGGCCTCCACACTGGAACTCTTTGGTCCCCATTGGAGCCTCCCCTTCTCCATAGAGCGCCCCCTGGAGGACTGAAGGAGCCCCACAGCCCAGCTGCCTGCAGACCACCTGAGCATCCTGCTGGTCAAAGTCAGCCTCACACACTGAGGACCAGGACGGGTTAGACGGGTTAGACGGGTCAGAGTTCACCTCCAGTCTGCCTGAGCACAGACCAGTCCCCCCCAGCAGCCTGACAGAGTCTGCAGAGGACAGAAGGTCAAACAGAGGTCAAAGACACACCATCAAAGAGATGAAACTATATTTCAGATTCAAACTGGACTCAGTTCCAACATGAGTTGATGATGAACAACAGAACACATGTTGATAAGAGCCGCGTTCACACCAAATACTTTCCTGTACTTAGTTCCGGCACTAAGAACCCCGGCGCTTTTAACCCCAGGGCACTTAGTACAGATCGCGTTCACACCGAAGTACTTTTCCCTGAGGGAAGATTACGCAAATGAGCCGCTGACGTCACTTCTTCTTCTTCTGCTTTGGCTTTACTGGCAGGCCACAAACCACTTCACGGCGAGTACAGTAGGTGGCGGTAAGCACCTTAAAGTTGTTTGCAATCCGCTACAAAACAAGAGAAGAAGAAGAAGAAAAACTTCCCGCGTATACTGTCTGTTGTTTACCTTCCGACCTCAGACATGATGGAGATGGAGTCGACTGAAGTTGTGCTGTTTGTGCTCATGTTATACAGCTTTGTAACTTCGTTAATGCGGCCAGAGCCTGAGCCTATTAGGCGTCCGACACAAATCCGGAGCCGCCACACGTCGAATGCTATAATCGCAAAGTTTCTTCAGCATCAAAGGCAGTTCAAAAGCTTTAGGAAAAGGATTGGCCGACGGAAAGCACACATGATTGCCATGTTTCACCGTAGGATGGCTGATACAGGATCTGTTTAATCGCCATGTCGGTTTTCTTTATTGCACTCTCAAGACATAACATTAAATAGAAATATTTTAAATGTAACTAAAGTGTCAGTTGTACATGTCAGTAAACATTGTCAATATAAAATAAAGTGTCAGTTGTACTATATAATAACAGTAATAACAATATAAAATAAACTGTCCCAGCTGTAGGGAGTCTCAGCAGCAAACCCACCTTTATTATATATCTTCCTGAGACCCACTGCATCCGTCTGCCATAAACACTATGCAAACATACATGTTAGTTTTTGGCCATAGTGGACTCCATGTTGTGTTGTGTGAAATGGGGGGGAATTAAAAGTTTAGGTCAATAATATTTAAAATGATATAAATTATCATATTTGTGTATGTGCCCCTGCCATTCCCCCACAAGGTTGCAACATTGATGATAAATAAATGACAAATAAAGCTTTGCCAGTTTATAACCGATGAAACATGATGGTATCAGAATAATCACTTACATGTGATGTATAGGATGCTACGGTCACTAAAGATAAAGTGTCAGGAGAAATAAGCTTAATCGCCATGTCGGTTTTCTTTATTGCACTCTCAAGACATAACATTAAATAGAACAATTTTAAATGTAAATAAAGTGTCAGTTGTACATGTCAGTAAACATTATATATAAAATAAAGTCATAACAGTAATAACAATATAAAATAAACTGTCCCAGGTGTAGGGATATTCTCAGCAGCATGCACACCTTAGTGCAACGTTGTGTGTCGTGTGTCAGTATTTACAAAAACTATACCAAATAAACTGTTATTAAATGCAGTTTGTCGCTCATCCTGCCGCTGCGCCGACGCTTCCTCATGGCGCAGCGCCCCACACTTCATCCTGGTGCTGCTGGCGCTCCATCTGCTGCTTGAACACTTCTGCCTGGCGCTCCATCGAGGTGAGCATCTTGTCCTCCGTTTCCTGGGCCTTGGTGAACAGCACCATCTGATCTCCACGCAGCGACTCATTCACCACGGCACGCCGGTCCTCCAACGCCTGGGCGGTGTCAAAGAAATTCGCATCCCGTGTCCGCTTTCCTAAGAGGGGAAAATAAGCAATATACAAGATCTGTTTTAGTCGCCATGTAGTTTTACAACATACTAGGAATGTGTTTTTTGTATTTTCACAAATAGAATTAAGGTTTCACAAATCTGAAACTGTGTTATAAAGAATCTTTTGACTCTCTGGGATAATCCAGTCCAGATTTGATGAGTCTAGGTATAGTGGTTTTAGATCAGGACCTGGTCTAATGTGGTCTAATGTGGTCTACATGTAAAAAAAGCACTGAAATCTCCCTTTTTTGTATTTTCACAAATAGAATTAAGGTTTCACAAATCTGAAACTATGTTATAAAGAATGTTTGGCCTCTCTGGGATAATCCAGTCCAAATAAATCGGCTATGCAGCGATTTAAGAGGTTCAAACACGGAGGATTGTTCCTTTTTGAAGAGTGCTTCATGTATGCTTGAACTTTGTTTAATGTTATTGAGGCAAGTTAAACATAAAATATGATGAATATTATGAAATAAACATGATTGTGAACATCAGTTCGATGCGTAACGTTCTTTCAAGACAAAGTACCTTTGCGTT